GAGGAAGAAAATAGTCTGAAACAAGCAAAGGACATACTGTCACTTAATATTCTGATTAAAATGTAATAAGGTGATACTGTTACAACTTAATCAAGTATATAATTATTCACTTCAGGTGTAGCCACAGCATGCATGCCACAAGTGGCACAGACATTCTTTCTGTGGCATGCAACAGATTGGGGTGGGTGCCGGGAACACTGTAGCGGATAGGTCAGGGAGCAGAAAGTAAAGCAACAGATCAGGCAGGGGAAGGGGATTGGAGCAGCACTCTGGGAAGGTACGGGGCTTGGTGTCATGCCTGTCAACAGTTTATCCCTTCCCTCTGCCCCACTGGTTTATTCTTTTAAATTGCAAGAAGTAACACCCTAGCTAGAAGGCTCACTTTTTTCCAGTAGATATCAAGAAAAATAAAGCTCTGATATTAGGAATGTCGGACTAGAAAGGTCAGAATAAGGGCTAAAAGGGGCCTCCACAGGGCCACCTAGTCTAATGCCCCACCAGAGGCAGCATCATCTCTATCCAAACCATCCTATCCAAATCTGTTGTTTAACCCAGTGGTTCTCAACCTTATTAGACTTGAGATGCCCTGCATTAGATGCAGGGCACCCCTTATGAAATGTCAGCTCTTATGTTTAACTCTTTTTGACTGCTGAAAAACAATAGAGAAATTCTTCAGTTGCAAAAGAACGCAGAAAGCCCAGAACAGGTTGGGATGTTTCTAATACTATGAATTCATAGCTACAAGCTGCTTTAAATTACAACTGCATAAGTTTATGGAAGGGATGGTATAACAAGACAGGGAGTTTTGCCTCAACAACCAATGCTAAAAAAAAAAAGGTGTTTACAATTCCCATGTTCAGTTACTGACATAACTGATTTATAGTCTGGTAGGTGTCTGATATTCCTAGTCTGTAGGGTTTTTGCTGGTAGGTGCTAAAAAGGATTTTTAACTCCTTTCATGAATTGTATTGGCAGGAGGCTGGAGACCCCTTCCTTTGAGGCACTGGGACATTGGCCCCCAAGGCTGGGTTTAACTGGGGTATACAGATGCTTTTGATGGAAAACAAATATATTCCTGCCTGGGGGCTCTTGCTGGATCACACCACTCTAAGCCAGCTGTCAAACCTAACAAGAACAGCTGCAGGGGGACAGGGTGGAAAAAGAGGGATGGGGCATGATTCTTGTCCCATACTAGAGACATGATTCTTAGGATCTCCTGAGCATGTTTTAACCCACAGACATCTAACTCCTGGTCCAGAAGCCATGTCGCCCACAAGAGGTTAAATTGTGGCCTGCAGATGCTTGCCTGGGTACTGCTCCCCCCACCTCCACTGCTCCAGATGTTCTTGCCGCCACCAGGGTCCCCTTCTCTCCTACAGCTTCAGCTTCCTGCACTAACCCCTAGGGGTGGGGCACCACAGTTCACCCTGTGGGGTCCAGAGATTCTGCACAGAGATTCTGCAGGCACAGTACAGCATGGTGGTGATTACATGAAGACCCAAGCAGCTCAGAAGCTGGACAGCTCTGTATTACCTAACTACTTCCCAGTCACTGTAGTGCCCTCATCTTCTCAGATTTTACTAGTGGCATGTAGAAGGATGCTATTTTACCTAGTAATTGGGTGAGGCTGTTTGAAGCAGGTATCTTGGGAAATCCTCAGCTATGTGAGAATCCAGGGCACTGGACTCAATGGCCCAGGAGACCACTTCCAAATTTATGTTCCTATACACTTCCATTCATGTGTCAACATTGCTGTGTACCTTGCATAGTTTTTCCCCTCTCTGATGTTTAACCCTTATTATATTATGAAAATGCAATTCTATCCCCGCTCTGCCTCTGCTTTGCTAAGCTGAAAAAGTCTTTAGTCTCCTCTTAAGGTAATTTCTCATTTCCTTGGTTGTCTGAGCAGTCATTTTTTCCTATTTGTTCCAATTTGAAGTCACTTCTCTTAGGATCACAGCAAAGGAGGGCTAGAAGGGACCTCATGAGGTCATTAGTCTAGACTCCTGCCCAAGACAGGTCTGCCATTCCCTGAACCATCCAAGCAAGTGTCAAACCTGCTTGTGACAATTTCCAAGGATGGCAAATACACAACTTCTACAAGTAGCTCGTTCCAGTGCTTGATCACCCTTGCAGTCAGAGAGCTCCTCCTAATCTCCAACCTAAATTTCTTCTGCTGCAGTGGGAGGTCATTGCTCCTAGTTCTTCCCTATGGCCACAAAGAAAAACCCATGTCTATGCTCTCTACAATCACCCTTCAGTTATTTGAAGATTTATTCTTCTTGAAGGGTGGGGGCAAAATAGAACACCGTACTCCAGGTGAGGCCTCATCAGTCGCAAATACAACAGAATAATCATTTTCCTTGATCTGCAAGTGACACTCCTATTGTTACAACCCATTATGCTGTTGGCTTTTTTTCTGGTCCTCTCTGCAGAACTGCAGCCTACCCAATCATTCCCTAGTCTGCTTTTGGGCGTGCAGTTATTCTGGCCCAAGTGCAGGACTTTGTACTTGTTCTGAAATCAATCGGCTAAATTTCAGCCAGGATATTTCTCCATCTTAACCAGGTCATTTTGGATCCTAGCCCTACCTTTCAGTGTCCGCAACTCCACCTAACTTGGCGTCATCTGCAAATTTGCCAAGTGCGTACTCAATCTCATACTCCAAATCAATGAAGATGTTTAACAACACTAAATGGGGGAGTGACACCTCGGAAGCCCACCTGGTATCTTGCCCCAAGTAGACATTGAGCCATTAATGACTACTGGTTGAGCATGACTGTCCAATCAGTTTTGTACGCATCTTGCATCCACCTCTTGAACTTGGCTCATGCTGTTCCACAATAAGTCTTTTATCAGTGCTTTGTACAAGGGTATATGTATGTATGTATGCATTTGCATATGCATTTTTATTTTATGTACACGCACATGGCAACCAATCATCTGAATCATGATGTACACACAAGATGTCTACAACCATCACAACCATAACACCAAGACTTTTGACGCATGTACCTAGGCAAGGGTATGGAGGGGTGGAGGCTGCAACAGATGAGAATTGCTGCTGACTGCCTAATGGCTCAGCAAGAGCGTATTCCTGTCAGGGTAATATCCCTTGATCTTTCTCCAACCAAGGAGTACTCAAAAAGGCAGTGTGGGGAGTAGGGTTTTTAGGTACCCTATACTCATCTTACTCCGGAGGTTGCAACACTGGGCTATTTTATAGAAGCTACCCTACCATAACAACTCACTCCGCTACATTGCGATCAGACTCTCCAGTCAGATGCAGTTCACAGTCATACCCAGGACCAATATTACATATAATATACCCTAGAATCACACATCTCTTTTTCCCAGTTATAGCTCATTGGTGGCTCAGCAAGTAACCATCTAAAACAAGATCTTTCCCCTTCTTTGCTTCCAAAGGATGAACCAAGTGCAGGACCTTGCATTCTACCATAATTTTATCCCATTTTCCTGTCCTCAAAGACAGCCAACTCTTTCTGTATGATATACTAATATCTTTTCTATACTGATGATGGCTCTGAGGCCCTCGTGTCATCAGCAAATTTCATTAGCATACTCTTACTTTTGGTGATAAAGAGTTCAATTAAAATATTTCCAAAATCTGTCCTTGCAGAACTCAGTTAATAACCCCTCCATAACCCATTCCCTCATCATTTTTTATATGACCTGTTGTTGGCTCCCCTGTATCCAGTTTCTATCCATGTTCTAGTTATTTTACTAATCCCCATTTTTCCAGTATTTTCTAGCAAATGCTTTACCAGACAGATAAAAATCTACTGAACTTCTCCTGTATAAGAAATCAGTTATGTGGAACATGTATAACACTAGTGACACCATCTCTTTAGTAAACGCATGCTGTATTCCACTTTTCTCATATCTTTAATTACTCTTTACGTCAATGCGTGTTCAGAAGCATGAAAGCTACTGAAATTAGAATACCTGGATTATAAATTGTCCAGATCACAACTTTTCACTACCATCATTATGTCCAGGAATTTTTCCACAGTAATTTTTAGTAAAGTGCATGGGAGACAAATGGAAACTAACACTATCTTCTCACGATACCAGCTTTCTGTTGACTCCTGGCTAAACTACATTTCCCATGATGCAATGTGTTTCATCTTCTGATAAAGTAGCAGATAGCTAATGAAAATCATGACATTTCTTCAAATTCATGGTTTCGCTGATTTATGAGCCACAACCTTAAATCACAGCTTTCTCTTCTGAGCCCCTACCTCTACGGGGGGGGGGGGGGGGG